CAGCCAGCATGTTGAAGTCCACTCATCTTAAAGTGGCCAAGTTTGGACAACACTGCTCTAAAGTCTCAAACATTGTCTGCAAAAGGCTACTTGAGACCTTAAGTAGAACTATCTGTCCTGTTCTTCAGCTTGAGAGAGAGTAAGAGAAAGACCATAAGGATCAGGGTTGCTCCATTCACTGCTTTCTCAAGCTCTGCCCACCATGTAAACCTTGAAAGAAAGTTGCCCACCAGAGTTGATTTGACAATGGAGTTAATGTGTAACTTAGTCTTGCGTATTATCCTTTCTTTCTTTTTCTTCTGATATCTGTATGTCCCTCTCTCTTCCCAGCTGGGTCGCCAAGGTAGTCCGTTTACGGATAAAGATTTCCGTGCCCCGAGATTAAGTTATACTGGAGTGCCGGCAGCTGCCATCTCTTTCTTGGAATGGCGGATCCTCAGTGACATTGACCGTCTGGACAAGAACTTCATGGCTTATACTGTTTTCTCAGAATTCTTGCAGCTGGTCTGGGATGATCAGTTTGAGCTCAACCCCACCGAAGGTGAACTTCTAGACATGCTGAAAGTGACACGGTTGCACGTCCAAGGCCTTCTTAACAACTTGACCACCATCATGTCTGCCTTGGGGGTCCCACCCTCACCTGTTACAGACCCGCTCACGTTGGACGTAGTTAAAACAAACACCTTTGAGAAAAAGGTTCGGGGATATGTGGTGTGCTCCACGTACAAGCAATGGATTGATCGGACGGTACGAGACTTTAATCTTCTTGTGAAGAAATACCCTCTTTAAGTCTTATTCAAAGTGTTTGGTGGGAGGGGGAAGATAACTCTCACACCCTACTCCCTACTGCAGATTTCTCAGGGAATTAAGTGTAGGCAGAAGACAGGCATACCATGGTCTGATAAGATCTGGGAATGGTCTTGCTAAGTTAATTCAGAGTTCAGTTCTGAAAAATCCTAGTTTTCAAGTTTTTGGAGAAAAACAAGAATGTTCTTGGCTGATTGGTTGCCTCCCTTGGCTGTGCATGGTGCCGATTGGCTGTCCTGTAATGTTATCGACGGTCGATTCCAGAGCATGGTGAGGTGCAATAAGTGAAGGTGGGAAGCCAGTTGTGACGTTCTTGGAGTTCTTCCATTACACATGTTTTTTGATCTGATGAGGTTAGGGATGTCTCTTGAATCTGTGCAGTGGTACTCTGCTGAAACCCTGTATTTTTTCAGTGGCAAACACATCTTTTAGTTAAGCAGAGATCAGGGATTTTCAAGGGCTTTAATTTTGAGTATCGCCAGTCTTCTACAGGATGATATTCTTCAGAAGTGTTGGGACTTCAGTTCCCAATGTTCTCCCTAACAGGGCATTATGGACCCATTTGGGCAGCTCTCTGGATTTACCAACAATTATTCTCTCGTTTGGGGCAAGTGTGTAGCAAGGCTCTTCAGACCTCCCTTATGAGCACAGAAAGGTCCTCTTGACATTTTAGGAGATTAGTGCCCAACTCTTCGGATGGGGCTTTACTAACATGAGAGAGAAGCTGAGCTTTACTGCTAACCCAATTGGCATCTGAGGATACAGTGATGCCAGCCTTTGGTGGATGCCCCCATGGACAGGGATGAAGAAATGGCACCCACACGTGTGCACGTGGCAGGAGTCATACCATCATGCTACCAGACCAAGTGAAAAATCGATTCCATTTGCTAAGTCACAGGATCAGCAATTCTCAGCTACTACAATGCTTTTGATTTCAGTGAGTACAGTGGAACCTCGGTTTACGAACTTAATTTGTTCCGTGACTCTGGCCGCAACCCAAATTGGTCGCAACCTGAAAGAAATTGCCCCATAAGGTTCAATGTAATTACCATTAATCCGTTCTGGCGTGGGGGGCGGGGAGGCGGCTATTGCTTGGAGGGAGAGTCCCCCGCCCTACGACCACGTGTCAGGGGTGGAAAACGGCAGCGGACCACGTG